TTTTTCTGAATACCTTATAACAAAGTTATCACAAAAGGGAGTTTGTGTAAACTAAAACTGTCAGATGTTAATTAATCCGTGAAGATACACTGTCTGATATTAATTAATCCGTGAATGTACACTGTCCGAAATTAATCAATCCGTGAACTTACACTGTCAGATATTGACGAATCCGTGAACATACACTGTCAGATATTAACGAATCCGTGAACATACACTGTCAGATATTAACAAATCCGTGAACATACACTGTCAGATATTAACGAATCCGTGAACTTACACTGTCAGATATTAACGAATCCGTGAACTTACACTGTCAGATATTAACAAACCCGTATCTATCTCTGTGTATCCGAGGGATAGGTCTCCTGTCTTTGTCTGTCCTGTATGAAGTATAGTGTCTACCCAGACCGGGACCGCAGATCCAACACGTCACTGACAGTTTCCATTTCCATTCTGATCGAAGTGTTTCCTCTTATTACAATAATACCAATACTGTTTTAATTAGCGCTAACGGCCAGTCGATGTTATCCACCTACTCCATCGTAACAAAATAGTTTACACATCGTGTTTATGACAAATTTTGACATGTTTCCGATATGAATCAAAGGAAATATGTCCGTTTACCCATACAATAGAATCAAATGTTATTTAGAGTGTACAAGTACTTAGAAATAATACACTAATCCATTGAAGTTTGTTCTAATTCACCGGCCTAAACCTGTCACACCGCGGGGTGTGACGTTTGGCTCGGGTCTGTAATAGGTTTGAATTGCGCGGTCGATATATTGGAGCGGTCGGACAGCAGCAGGGTCGGATACCGATGGTGATTATTATTTCAGCCTCCCGTCCAGTTATTTGACGAGACGTGCGAACATGTTCTCAATTAAGCAAACCAAGTATATATAACGAACTTGACGACATAAGACGTATATCACGCACTTGACCTGTAAAATACTAATTAACTTTCACAAATACTGGTATTTATTTACTCCCTCACGGGCCGATATCGGATTATTCAGCGTCGACCAACTAGCAAGCTGTACGGGTGTACCTGGCGATACGGCGGAATACAGTTCGATCAAACTGTTATCATGATACGGTATGAAATTTAAAGATAAAACTGGACTTTAAAAAGCATGTATAAAGTTTGGTCAATTCTGTGTATACAATGTAATTACATCATTACTTCACGACTTGGGTGTCATATTCATTCCCTGGCTCTAGTTTCATGACGTGTATCCCTTTATTATAACGGTAATTTCACAATTTCAATCTTTCCACAGCCAACACCTCATCATAAAGACAATATCACAACACCATGCTCATACGACCAGAGAAAGCTTTAGTCTGGCCGCCGTGACAATAAGTTATTAGCTATCAGTCAACATGCATGGGACTTCCAACACAGCATGTGTTAAACCACCTAAAGCAAGGCCTAGCGGTAGGAGAAGCATCGTCTTTGGACAGAATTAAGACTATACAAGCAGACTATGGCTATTATATTTACAATCCAACAAGAACATTTGAAACTTTCTGAAGGCTTAACGTATCGAGACGGGAAGAGGTCATCATAGTAGCAACAGACCAGTCTGCCGTAAAAACCTGTTAATTTCTGCATTCACGAAAGAGAAGTTATCAGAGGACCTGTTTCGACAGAAAAGCTGTGCAGTAACGTCAAACCTAGAAAGGCAGCATGATCTGATGACATCCCTGTTCGGATACTGAAAGAGAGGACAACTCGATTAGGATAGATCAGAACCCTATCTCCATATCTCCACGTTAGCCATCCAGTATTTAAGAAAAGCGACAGATCCAAACCTGAAAGCTACCGTGCTGTACCACTACGTGCCATTGCTTGTAAAACATCGCCGACTTCCTGATTGTCAAAACAGTCTTACATAATAACATCACATCGTTAGAATTTCAGAAACAAATGATCTGCTCACAAAGCTCTTTATTAAAGTCCGTGACTTGACAAGCCAGAAGCTGTTTGTTTTAATTTTCTTTAACGTCCTATTAACAGCTAAGGTAATTGAAGGACGTGCCTCCATGCGTTTTAGTGTATGCGTGCTTGCGTGTCTATATGCAGGAGACAGGGAGCCAGAAGCAGAAGGAAGTAGTTCGACTTGATTATTCTGGACTATCCGAAGGGAAACTTTTCAGGTAAATGTTGATGTAATGTATCACTAATTATCAATTTTAAAAATATTAGTTCATTTTTTTTAATAAATAGATATCCTCCACTTTTCTTTTCTATTGCAAGTCGATATTTCCGGTGCGTTGTTCTATAAATAGAACGCGAAATAAATGTAGTTCAAATATCAAGAGTCAACGGATGCTATTATTTATTTCTTCTCAATTCTATCATTAATTTTGAAAAAGTGAAAATAAGCTTCTATAAATGATACATGGCATCGCATGGAACGTAAAGAAAAGCAAAATGTGATCAAAAGAAAGATTTACACGAATGACCAGGTGTTCTGGAAGGGTAAGGCTCTTCTGCCTCATCGATGAGACACGGCATGTGAATTAATGTTGAATCCAAGTAGTGTCACGTCCTCGTATATCGAGACCCTGCTAGATTCTGATGGCAACGCTAACATTTGTCCATACTCCACAAATGTCCCGCTTACCATACAGCTTAGTAGCTAGTAGGCCGTCCATGTTGGTCATGTTGTAAGTAAAGATCGAGGAAAGCGGCCTTAGTAGAGGGAGTCTGTGGCGTACTTGATATCAAGCTCTGGTGGGTATATACGGCCGATGTGGTCAATGATTTTCTTGCTATTCAAAGACAGCACATCGTCGATATATTTGAACGTAAACTTGGGGACTAGTCTACCTGTTACCAGTCCTGATAAGCTCATCAATAAATTCAACTTCGTATGAAAACAGAAACAAATCGGCCAATAGAGTGGTAGTTTGTTTCCATGATAATGCCTACGGTTTGCTCCAAAATATTGCCACTGAACTCAACATGGATATTGTCAACCAATAACTCCATCATTTCAACAACATCGTCCTCAGTCTAATTCATTATAGCCCCTGATGTACTTATAACGAAATATGCTCCAAATTAATTTACAACCATATATTGATATCGCCGTATTGCTTCGAAAGAAAGCTCGCATAACAAGAGAACTTATGCGTTCCCGAGTGAATAGTGGTGTAAAGGGTCGAAAAGTCAAAATTGTCGATAGAAACAGAAGTAAACGTGTATACAACTTGCTTTCTAAATAGATCTTCGCTCGGTCGCCCGATAAACACATGCGTGCGTGAAGAGTTACTTCCTGTGCTATATGTTGCCCTTAATTTTCGTCCGAGAGTAGCAGTCTCATAGAGGAAATGGGAAGTATATTCTGAAAAAAATACACAAGACTAACCTCTTAAACATAATGAAAACAATATTCACGCTTTCTAATCATTTTTTTATTTAGAGAAAATTTAGAAATTAGTTGGAATTCTCAATTGGCGTATTCTCGCGGGATTAAAATGCAACTTTATTATCGAGGGGAAATAAAAGAATACAAACCTATAAATAAAAATAAAAATTGTTGTTATCTTTCTTCATTTCAGATTTCGCTAAAAAATATCACACGTTTAGTGTGAAAAAAATCATCACATATATAGGCGAAACTAGACCTATGTACGTTTGTCGGTGCGGCAAGACTAATGGTTTTTATCTGATTTTGTCACATGCTCAGAAAGGAACAGTTCCCGAAGTCTCTACTGGGAGTACCTCCAAAGAACATTACACACACTTTTGGTTACAGTTTGTTGAGAATATCAGTCTTCGGAAATAAAAACATTACTAAAACATTACTATTTTACATTTTTTTTTAAATCTTCACATTATTTATTTATGCATTACCAGTCATAAAAGAAACAGTTGATAACGCCCTTTATTGATAATTGATCATGTTAAAATCAACAACGATTTATCAAAAGCTAGCTTTAACGCCATTTTTCAGCAACGTTGCTATTTTCAGGCCGCGTGCCGATTTATAAATAGACCGAAATGATCATTTCATTGGGCAGATATCGGTGACTTGACCTGAATACGGCCCACTGTATCAGAAATGAAGACTACCGTATCGATATAACGCCCATCATTTGATTGACTATCTCGGTTACTAGTAGCACGGACTTAAATAACTAATCTAATTCCGTGTTAGTAGTAAAATTTTCTCTCCCCCCCCCCCCCCCCCCCATTTTGTTTGAAACTAAATTCTCTATACATCTACATCAATATATCGTTAAATATGCAACGTAAAGTTTATTTAGTTTACAGTTATTATCATTTTTTTTCAGCTCTTTTCCGATGACGTGGGAGGAAACAAGCTAGTACCGGGAGAAAAGCGACGTGGTCGGGCAGGTGACCCGATCAGGGATCGAATCTTGAAAGTAGGTCAAAGTCATTTTTGAGGAAATTTTATAGCCTCACATCATAACATCATTATCATGTCTTAGTTAATCACAGGAAGGTGTTCAAAGGTTTTAACACATTTGATCCCTGTGACTTTAAATGTAGCTTTATGTCACATATTTGCGGCTTAATAGCAACACATGTTATTTGGGGTGGATTATACACTGGTCACTTCACAAAGGACTTAATGGTCATTTTTAACTACATTAAAAGTAAAAATTTCAACTTGAATTTATTTACCATTTAATGTTATATATATCATATAAGTTAAATGGGGCTATCTTTTCTGGTGCAGATTTTTTCTAATGGGCATGCGTAGACGCCCTACCATTGCAACACAATTGCGTTGCTATGCAGAAATAGCCAAAACATGTTGTTTTTGGACAGTTGGCATACAGAGTTGAAAGGCTCTGCATGTGACAAACACAATATCCTTCTAACGAATGAACACTGGTACGACAATGTTAAAGCATGTCAAATATTTATTTGTTTGTTGAATGCAGAATCTTTCAAAACTTTAAGAGTGTTAAGTTAATTTCCTTCAAAATGGCAAATTTTCAACCAAATAGCACATAACAGACGATATTCACACATTTTATTATGAAAACGCCGGTTTATCACATGTCTCTGTTTGTAATGCCATATCTCCTAAACCAGTTGTCGAATAAATTTGAAATTTCATATTTGCGTACTTCATTTATTCCAGATTACGAATTCGCGAATATAGCAACTAATTCAAATCCCCGATGAGGCCGAAAATGACCCTTAACGCCCCTAGTCCCTGGAACACTATTTGTGCCCAATAGCATACTACATACAGGGACACTTTCACCTAGTCAAACTGATGAGATTTGTATTCGCCTAGTCCGACTGTCGCCCTACACTGATGAGGTTTGTATTCGCCTAGTCCGACTGTCGCTCTACACTGATGAGATTTGTATTCGCCTAGTCAGACTGTCGCCCTACACTGATGAGGTTTGTATTCGCCTAGTCCGACTGTCACCCTACACAGATGAGATTTGTATTCGCCTAGCCCGACTGTCGCCCTACACTGATGAGTTTGTATTCGCCTAGTCCCATTGTCGCCCTACACTGATGAAATTTGTATTCGCCTAGTCCAGCTGTCGCACTACACTGATGAGATTTGTATTCGCCTAGTCAGACTGTCGCCCTACACTGATGAGGTTTGTTTTTGCCTAGTCCGACTGTCGCCCTACACTGATGAGGTTTGTATTCGCCTAGTCCGACTGTCCCCCTACACTGATGAGATTTGTATTCGCCTAGTCCAGCTGTCGCCCTACACGGATGAGATTTGTATTCGCCTAGTCCAACTATCGCCCTACACTGATGAGATTTGTATATGCCTAGTCCGACTGTCGCCCGACACTGATGAGATTTGTATTCGCCTAGTCAGACTGTCGCCCTACACTGATGAGGTTTGTATTCGCCTAGTCCGACTGTCACCCTACACTGATGAGATTTGTATTCACCTAGTCCCACTGTCGCCCTACACTGATGAGTTTGTATTCGCCTAGTCCCCCTGTCGCCCTACACTGATGAGATTTGTTTTTGCCTAGTCCGACTGTCGCCCTACACAGATGAGATTTGTATTCGCCTAGCCCGACTGTCGCCCTACACTGATGAGGTTTGTATTCGCCTAGTCCGACTGTCACCCTACACAGATGAGATTTGTATTCGCCTAGCCCGACTGTCGCCCTACACTGATGAGTTTGTATTCGCCTAGTCCCATTCTCGCCCTACACTGATGAAATTTGTATTCGCCTAGTCCGACTGTCGCCCTACACTGATATATTTGCGTACTTCATTTATTCCAGATTACGAATTCGAGAATATAGCAACTAATTCAAATCCCCGATGAGGCCGAAAATGACCCTTAACGCCCCTAGTCCCTGGAACACTATTTGTGCCCAATAGCATACTACATACAGCGACACTTTCACCTAGTCCAACTGATGCCCTACACTGATGAGATTTGTATTTGCCTAGTCCAACTGTCGCCCTACACAGATGAGATTTGTATTCGCCTAGCCCGACTGTCGCCCTACACTGATGAGGTTTGTATTCGCCTAGTCCGACTGTCCCCCTACACTGATGAGATTTGTATTCGCCTAGTCAGACTGTCGCCCTACACTGATGAGGTTTGTATTCGCCTAGTCCGACTGTCGCTCTACACTGATGAGATTTGTATTCGCTTAGTCCAGCTGTCGCCCTACACTGATGAGATTTGTATTCACCTAGTTTAAATTTGATTGCTATTTTGATTGTGTTGTTTTCTAATGTTTGGTGTAGTAATAAATCTGTCCTGACTATGGTCTGGGAAAAGGCGAAAGTTTAATTGTGGCAAAAAAAATCCGGTAAACAGTTTAAATTCAAAATGGCAGTTCTAAAAGTATGACGTTTGAAGGAACCTTAACTTCTGAGTCAAAGGGTGCAGCAAGTTTTGAATGTGTCTAAGACAATAAGGGGCAATTATGGTTGCAAATCAGGAGTAGGGTAACCTACTTTTCAGATAGACTTTAAAAACAATAACAATGTGTACATGATGACATCTTTTGAAACACCAGCACTACATGTGCTTACAATCGTCCCGTTACCTTAAAGAGGGAGTTGGAAATGTTCAACTGTTAAAACATCCTTGTGAAAAGAAAGAACTACAAATAGAAAACAATATAGCATCTATCTCCAGAGTAGTTACTCCGGTAATGCATATTTTAAGCTCATTGTTCCATCACGATAGGAAGTTAAAGTTCACTTAGTTTGCCAATACCACCGGGTCTTCGACATAGCCAGACAGGCAGTTAAGTGACATAGGTTAGTCAGAGCAGTTTTAAGAAATTAAGTACATTCTGAAACTAGAGCACCAAAATATGAAGTTTAAGGATGTCAAATTGATTAGTATTACTTAGCATGTCACCAGTTTCCATCTCACCTTCCTGGACATCTTACCTTCCTAGAAACTGGTAGGCAGCTATATTGTTATGACCCCAAGGTGCTTTCACTTTTGGAATTTTGATTTTTGAAAGAGTAATCATCCTTTTGTCAGCATTTCTATCCTGTCTGGATATCTGATCTTTCAGGTCTTTTTATCCAATCTTCTTGAAAGTTTTGCGTTTTAGTCAATTTATGTAATTGTTTATTCCAATATTGAATTATGACATCGAAAATTTTGACAGAGTTAATTACCTTTTTTTTCATCAACGGGCATTAAAGACATCTGTATGTAGTGTTTTTGCAGAAAATTTCCATTATGTCCTTGAATATTTCTATGGAATGGGTTTATCCCATGGAAAACATGGATTCTGATTAAAGTAATAGCTCAATGTTTAATAGATAATTGAATCAGTTTAAGGTATGGACGAAATTCCAATTGCATTTCCTGTCTTATGATCAGAATATATCTAAAGGTCCTATAATAATTGACTGGGATTCCGTCTGAAGAAGTAAGTCGGTTTCCCATTGTACAGAATCAGAACTTATGCTGCCTTGAATTCCGAATACAGTACTTTTCACTAAATGTCAACTGTGTTTATTTCTTAAGCAGATTTTCCATTTATGGAAAGTCCGACCCTGTTCATTTAAATATGACACCCCTGTTTTCCTTTAAGATTTCCACTTTTTCCCACAGGATCTTTTAAAATACGACTTAAATTTTGTAAAGAGAAAAGGAGAGAGAAAATCTGTATAGATTTTGCTATTAAAAATTCCATACGGAGTCCGACTAGATAACTTTGTACAAGCAGTGAAAAATACCATTTAAAGGTTAAGATCAAAGGTCAAAGCACAGGTCACAGTGACTTACTTCTCAGACTCTGCATCAGCCATCCCAATATTCCAGGTGAAATAGTGTTAATGATTTCTCTTAGACAAACAATGTGGATGAACGGATTACTGACGGACAGACAGAGGGAATGCAAAGCAACAGTACCGATGGTAACTGGTGGTAGACTTATTGTATTACAAATACCAAGTCACTTTACTCAACTTCATTTAATAAATATCATGAACTTGTATTCTTTCCTGAGTTTAGGTCATCGAGGCTCATGAAATGAGATTTGAATTTGTCCACCGCTCGGTATCTGTGGGATATGGTGTTCTTGGTAGATTTGGGCAGTTCAGCATAGGTCTGTTCAAAGCCAGTTGGCTGGAAACAGGGGTCCCAGCCAAAGTCGCGTGGACCTCTGGGGTCCACTATTGTCCCTTCTGTTTTACCAATAAACAGCTGAACCTCAGAGTCCTTATGTCCATCACTGTAGGCAACAATACACATAGCATCGGCGGTCTTGTCTTCAAATCCTGCTAGCATCTTGTGTAGACCTATAACAGTACAAATAGTTTTACAACCAAAATACATCAGTAAACAAGTAATTATTGTCCCCACTTAAGATTTTTACTTATTAAGATTCTTAACTGTCTGAATATCACATTTGAGAAATATCCCTCTAGTACTTTCTGAGGTACAGAAATACCTTATCTGTCAAAATAAGGGTAACAACATCACGGCAGCAACATCAAACAATAAAAACAATCTAACCAGTTTCTAAAAAGGCAAAAGGATGATACAACAGAATAACTTGGTCAATATTTTACTTTTTTTGTTTGTTACATTTTCTAAAAGTATATTGTTTCAGTAACGCAAGAATCTATGTTTTTACCCTTTATGATGCTAGAGCTTTCTCTGACATGGTTTGACCAACCTCCTGGTCCCACGCTCTTAAGAAACCACTTATGTAGGGGCCAGACATACCCCCTAGAGCTTTCTCTGACACGGGCTGACTAACCTTCTGGTCCCACACTCTTTAGAAACCACTAATGTAGGGGCCAGACATACCCCCTAGAGCTTTCTCTGACACGGTTAGACTAACCTTCTGGTCCCACGCTCTTAAGAAACCACTTATGTAGGGGCCAGACATTCCCCCTAGAGCTTTCTCTGACATGGTTAGACTAACCTTCTGGGCCCACACTCTTTAGAAACCACTTATGTAGGGGCTAGGCATACCCCCTAGAGCTTTCTCTGACATGGTTAGACGAACCTTCTGGTCCCACACTCTTTAGAAACCACTAATGTAGGGGCCAGACATACCCCCTAGAGCTTTCTCTGACACGGTTAGACTAACCTTCTGGTCCCACGCTCTTTAGAAACCACTTATGTAGGGGCCAGGCATACCCCCTAGAGCTTTCTCTGACACGGTTGGACTAACCTTCTGGTCCCACACTCTTTAGAAACCACTAATGTAGGGGCCAGACATACCCCCTAGAGCTTTCTCTGACACGGTTAGACTAACCTTCTGGTCCCACGCTCTTAAGAAACCACTTATGTAGGGGCCAGACATTCCCCCTAGAGCTTTCTCTGACATGGTTAGACTAACCTTCTGGACCCACACTCTTTAGAAACCACTTATGTAGGGGCCAGGCATACCGCCTAGAGCTTTCTCTGACATGGTTTGACTAACCTTCTGGTCCCACGCTCTTTAGAAACCACTTAATGTAGGGGCCAGGCATACCCCCTAGAGCGTTAAAGCACAGACTGGTATCCTCGATCAGGACTGGGCCCTGGATGTGCTCGGCTGCCATGCGACACTTCAATCTGGCTACCTCTTCTGGCTCTCCCTGGTACTCCGGCAGGTCAATGTCCTTACTGATTACCTGGTAACATGGGTAAAGTTCAGGTCAAGGTCAAAAGCTATGGAAAGTAATAGGATAACAACTGATTGTCACTGAAATATGAGGTATATAGTTTCACAATCAAGTGCCGATCCACAGGGGACACTGGTATGTGGCACCTTCTCACCCTGCCTGTAACCTCATATTGTCCTGTGCAAGTTGCACAACATCCTCAAAACCCACTCACTCACATTCTCTTAAAAGAAAACAGACCAATCCCTAGGCTGATACCTGTCCTTTGAAGGTTATAGAGATGTGATTGATACCTTACTTAACAAGAGTACCGCGGGGCGGAACAATATACACCCGTCGAATGCCATATAGTGTTATATACTTTCTTACATTGAAATAAGATCTGCATAATTCTAAGAGTGGTTAGCTGACATGCCATAAAAAATGTAGGAGAAAAAATAAAATACTGAAAAGAACAAAGGGCAATAACTTTTGCAAAATCGTCGAATCAAATTCTTTTAAGTTTCAAAGAGATCCGTTGAAAAATGTTGTAGGAGATTGCCGGACAAAAAATTCAAATACTGAAATGAACAAAGGGGAATTACTTTTGGAAAAATTGTCGAATCAAAATATATGTTTCAGGGAAACACAACTTCATATCATGATTATAATGTATACCAAGTTTCAAAGAGATCGGTCGAAAAATGTAGGAGGAGATCTCCGGACAAAAAAATTCATCTACTGAAATGAACAAAGGGGAATAACTTTTGAAAAAATTGTCGAATCAAAATATTCTTTTAAGGGAGACACAACTTCATATCATGATTATAATGTATACCAAGTTTCAAAGAGATCGGTGAAAAAATGTAAGAGGAGATTGCTGGACAAACAAAAGTTAACTCCGAACGGACGGACGATGCCATACCATAATACTCCCGTCACATTTGATGGGCTTATAAAAAAAACCCAGTCAATACCATTACACTGCCCGCCACTCTTTTGATGATCATGAAAAGATCAAACCAGTCTTTTTGTAACATCATGGTTGCATGTACGTATACAGAGTCTCTGATTTCATCATGATATATTCTAGGAGTGCAAGAACATAAGAGAATAAGACCCTGGAATTTTGAGGATGCACAATGGAGGTGATTTTCTACTTCTTAATTTCCCCTTTACACATGATGGCGACCTTTGGGCCTTCCTTGTGCGACCATAAAACTTTTCAAGTCTTCGATGGAGGCTCAAAGGAGGCCGAATGTTCAGACATTGCCATGGTCGCCTTAAATTTTAAACATGTTCAAAACAGTTGCACAATGGTCGCCAAGGAGATTGGTTGCTCAAACGTGGCTCAAATAAGGCAGAATGTTCTGGCCATTTTTTTGGTCGCTTGAAGGTGGTACAATTATAGGTCACAGCTCGGTGTAAAGGGGGCTTTAGGAAGGCCAAATGTTGTAAGGCAGTTTTAAGATACCTTCCGGTATACATATCTTTGCTCATCAAACTGCACATTTATCGCAGTATCAACCACTTATAAAGAAAGTATATCTGTTTATGATTTTATCTCTTTTTTCAACCATTCTGGACACAGGTTACATAATATGATATTACTGACAGTACAGTAGGGGACTAAGAATCGATACAGATCTTATGCCCCAGTTTCATTGCTTCAATGATTGGGGTGAGGTCAAAATATGGGTCACATGGACTACATTTAGTATACAGTACACACTGCCATCCAAAGATGAATCTACATTGTACATACCAAATTCAACAAGCACAACTACAGATCAAAGGGAACTTGCATGCTAAATCTGAGAAAGGTGCCTCCATTCTGTCTAAGAAATAAGGATAACAAACCCTAACTGTCAAAATCGAAGATGGCCACCTATCATCCATTTTGTTTATCTGATCAGTCTCAAAAGTAATTATGCACAACTAAGGACAAAAGTGAACTTACCTTATATATCAAATTTGAGAAAAATCCCTCCTGTTCTAACCGGTACCGAGATATAGCGATAACAAGAATTGTTTAAGGGATGGACAACACACCATGGGCAAATTAAGAAGGGCGTTTTGTAAAGCCCACCCACCATCAATGCTTATTTTACTTTGCTAGTTTAAGTCATTTACGATCAATTATGTCTATGTTTGGCAATCTATTGCCTCAAAGGGCTTGCCGATCAGTAATTATAGACCACCTATAAGGTGTTGATAAGTGTGTCTATGTTCATACAGCCATGACACCTCAGCCCTGGCTAAACTGTCTTTACAATTTGACAGTCACTTACAATATACTTGTTAAATGTCTTATCGCTGTTTAATACAGGGGAAATATTATGACGAGTGTTTATGTTAGTGGCTGTTGGCCATGTTAGACAGGTGACAATAATTCCAGTTATTGATATACATGTATTGAGTTTTGTTTGGGGGAAATAAACATGACTGCTGACTACAGGTGTTGGTTAGTAATAATACAGCAGATTTTACTGTATCATGACACTACGACTTACAGTTCTTCTTCAGAAGTCATTAAAAGAAAAAAGTTGAAGGCAGATAGACACTGACCCATGGCTATTTGTAGCAAGTGAGCTAAAACCTTAATTACTTTCTCACCTTGAATTTAAAATCGTTTCCCAGGATGTGTATAAATTCCTCCAACTTTTTCTGGTTTCCAGTTACCAAGGTAATAGACTGCTGTCCGTCTCCGTCCATTTTGTGCTTTTTGTTACCTGATGACATACTGCGAGTCTACAACAAAAATGTTCAAGGCTGTAAATTAGGCAAAAGAGAAATCTGAGGTCAAAGTGCAGTGAACTTCTATCGCTCAACATGTATTTGCAATATAACAGAAGTTAGTTGTAACTAACACATATAGGCATCATCCTGTGGGTGTTAGTTTCTGAGAAATATTTAATTTTAGCCTTTAATTAATAGATAATGTAGGTTTCTCACTCGAGCAGAGATTTTCTAACATGAATTTATGTTAGAATCACTTTTTCACTGGAGGAAATCATTGCAATTCACAAGAGGAAATCATATTGCACATATATATCAATCCAGGTGAGCTATTTCTTTGCTAACATAAACTAACTTGAAGCTCATGTGCAAAACTTAATTTGCGTAGTCATTTCTAACTTGTTTCTTGTGTGCTGATCATGAATTAGCTGCTGATGAATTTCTCATATGCAAAGGTTTGATTTGACTGTTTGGGCTGAGGACTGGGGCACTTGTAGGAGATTGACAATAGGGGAAATCATTGAGTGTTGATATTTGAACTATCACCAATGAGTGTATCAATTGAGTTCACTTACAGATAAATGGAAATGTTTAATGCCTCTTCCCTTGTACAACAAGTTGCTGGATAAAACACTTCGTTTTAACCTCAAAGATGAAGACCTGACTAATACATCAGTGTGGGACAGCAGTTTGGTTGATGTCCTTGTCAGTATAGCAATCATGTAGAATGTGCACACCTTCTGAAAAAGATAAAACATATAAAACCACAATAATTCTGGGATGCTGAACCATCTTCTTGGACAAGGTAATCAAACGTGTATATAGTGATGTTCTAGTTAATTGACTTTGCTTACTACTAATTGGTCATTTCAGCAAACTCACCGCAGGTACTAGCCTCACCTGTCCAATACACCTATAATTTATTATTGGTGAATCACTCAACAGAAAGAAAAGGCTAATGTAGTACTGAGTAATCGACTACAGAATTCATGTTTTTTTTTATTTTTTGTTTTTGTATAAAGTGTTTGTGTAAATAGAGTTTTCAGTAGAACGATTCAGGATTTCAAGTCTATCTCCTTGCCAGATACAAGCCACAGGTAAGCAGCTGACTTTTACTGAAGTCAAATGGGAAATAAAGCAAAACAAACGCACCCGGTGTTCTTTTAAACACTAGTCGCAAAACGGGCATTGTTCTTTTTCCTACAGAGTGTTACTAACCACCGGTGTTCACTTTTTTCATAGTAATACCCTTATTTTTCAATTGATATATCTCCATTTTCAGTCAGAATTTCAAACACATGTGTTCTTAAACACCTGGATTGATATCGATTATGCAGTATTTTCTGTGGACCTATTAATAACACAATTTTGTTACAGGCTTTGTTTTTGTCCTGACCTGATCGTCTGCAAGGTTCTTGTTCGAATAAATGTGAAAACGGATTGGTTGGTTTACGTTTTTTCTGAGCCCCACTAACTTGAAATTCATACGCAAACTGAAAGTATCAAAGAGCGCTGCCTAGCGGAGAGACAGGTAATCGAAGATCACCTGTAATGCTTGTACGCCGGACCCAGACCCGGACCAAGATGCCGATCCAGACATATTAAGATATTTCAGTATCTCAACAATGAAATCGTTTAGCAGTTTTTAACGTCTATAATAATTTCAAAGAAAGACATTTGGAATAAATATTTTGATAATCTGATGATTTAAAAAGCTTGATCAAGCCTGATGCTAATTTGTTACGTCCGTTTTCTATGCAATAATATCCATGCATTTATTGATTATTCATGCAATAATATCCATGCATGAATAATCAATGGTGTATTATTTCACTTTAAACTAGAACTGCATCTACATGGACATTTTTTAGGCCTACTTGGATTATTTTTAATGTTATACGAGTCTGTTAGCAAAAAATACACATCTGGTGTCGTCGCGATTACAGGTATTTCTTTTCGTTTCCGTGACTGGGTAGTAAATTTTAAGTTTAGAATTTCGAAGCTTTTAGCATGGACCTAGATAGCAATCTAATTCCGTGCTTTTAGTATCGATATATTATGTGACCATGCATGACAAGAAATTGTTTTAACAGTTTTTAACTTTTAAATAAGTGAATCACAACATTTACAGAAAATGGACTTTGTACAGAAAACTCCCAATTAAGATGTTTGTGCGAAGACGTAACACTTGGTGTCTAAATTGTTACGTCCGGTCCCCCGTCAAAAATCTACGCGGATAAAAATGAATGGATAATCGAAACGATCTCGAGACGAATGTGGCACATTGCACCTCTGTAATATCATTTTATGCTTAATTTCGTATTTATTTCTGCGCATGCTCGGAACAACTTTAAATACCTATCGCTGTAAAGTCGAAGTGGTGCAGTACTAGTCTTTGTTTTCTGTTGTATTTTATTCATTTTTCACTAGTACATTTATCTATATTTTGCGATATCATGTTATTATCTGCTTCTGCGGTAACAGGAAGCCTACTGGACCCCCCAATTGGCTCTGGTTTATTCCTGCATTTTTGTCATTTCTTAAAATACATGTACTGAAAACAACTAACAAACTCTCATAGAACTTATTTAAGATCCCTACATCACCCAACTATAATTGGATTTTACTCAGAAGATCGATTAATTGGGAAGGGTTTCTCTCCATGGCCAAATGGAATATATGATTCCTTTATTTCATTTACATTGTTAAAAAAAAGCTGCTGAACAATTTGTTAAAAGCAGAAAGGGATAGATAATAAATGCAGAGGAGCTGTATACATTTACCAGAGACAATCTTGCGATCAGTCTCAGGACTATTTCACATCACCTGTCCCAAAGTTGGGGGGAATTGTGTGTAATTAATTGCTATATTAATTGTGCATGGAAGTTGATGCCTCTTTCCTGTCGAAGATATAACACGTTACGCTGGTACTCTGTAACTTTTATAATCGTCCCTTTTTTATAGTGTCTGCTTAAGAGATTATTACTCAACAGCTATTTCTATTCTATCACACGTAACCTACAAGACAATATAGAGGGTCGTAGGTCAGAGAATTATTTAATGGGAACTTTTGTTCAAATTTAACCTCATATATTAATGAATAATTTCAATATTTTAATTAGAATTTTGTTTTTGTGAACAAAAACATATGTCTCCCCTTATTAGCCAATAGAAAAACTCCGGTATAAAAAATTAACAAAGGGCCATATCGCTTTATATAGTGGGGCAGGAGACCCGAATTAAGAATTTGACACTCCTACTTACCAAGATACATTAAAACTTTAGCAAGTTTGGTCAACGTAGGTGAAACTAGAACACTGACAGGTCAGTAAGGGCCCCGTCTTGTGGCAATATATCCCCCATAATCATCAAGAAGCAATCTGCCCATATAGCTGAGCTTGACGTTTGACATTTGGACTTAAAAAAAAATCGCAAGGAAGCAAAATATACATTTTACAAGTACTATGATGTGATTCTTGTTTCCTTCCACTTCCATATTTGCTGGGCTAACAGAAATGTAAATACTGGTGCAATACTCATTTATTAGCTTTGATTTGTTTTATTTCACCTTAAATACCTTCCCCATCAAGAGCCAAGGTCAAAGTAAGTGATCCAATTTGTCTTTTACCTTTGGACCTAAATGACCTTGACCTTTAACCCAGTGACCTTGATCTTTGATCAGTTGACTCATTCTTCAATTTCGACCAATTTTGCTTCACAATATCATAACAAATTGTTCATCAGTGAAAAATACAAAACTAGACCTTGACCTTGAACCTTTGGAACCCATAACCTTGACCTTTGGTTAGTTGACTCTGTGGTAAGTTCTGAACAACTTTGCTTCATAATAACATACAAAAAATGTTCATCAGTACAATATCAGGCCTTGAAATTGACCCAGTTACCTTGACCTTAAGTCAGTTGACTCCTTGTTAAATTCCAACCAACTTTGCTTCATAATGTCATAACAAAATGTTCATCAGTGAAAGGATACAAAATTTGACCTCGATCTTTGACCAAGTGGCCTTGACCTTTGTCAAATGACTCCTTGTTTAATTCTGACCAACATTGCTTCAAAGTGTCATAACAAAATGTTAATCAGGGAAAAGATACAACATTTGACCTTGACATTTGACCCAGTGACCTTGACCTTTCGTCAATTGACTCCTTGTTTGATTCTGACCAATATTGCTTCAAAGTGTCATAACAAAATGTTCACCAGTAAAAAGATACAAAATGTAACCTTCACCTTTGACCAAGTGACCTTGACCTTTGGTCAACTGACTCCTTGTTTAATTCCGACCAACTTTGCTTCAAAGTGTTACAACAAAATGTTCCCCAGTGAAAAGATACTGAATTTGACATTAACCTTTGACCCAGTGACCTTGACCTTAAGTCAGTTGACTCTTTGTTAAAATTCCAACCAACTTTACTTCATAATGTCATAGCAAAATGTTTATCAGGGAAAAGATACAAAATTTGACCTTGACCATTGACCCAGTTACCTTAACCTTTGGTCAGTTGATACCTTGTTTGATTGTGACGGACGGACGGACGGACGGACGGATGAATTAGTATAGGGCAACCGCAACTTCTGAAAGATGAAACGCTTCATCTCCGTAATCCAGACACATACAGAGTTGATATTTAGTACATCCATAGCGTATCCTTGGCTACAAAGACAACGCAAATCGTTGACCTTGACATAATTTCAAGGTCACAGGGGTCAAATGAAAAAAATACAAATTTCAATTTCTCTCAAAAAAGTTAGTTTTGCACCACATTTTTAAGAGTACATCCTTATTAGGATATTTGTAAGGTTTCAATATCAGAGAATCATGGTGCACGTAAAAAAACATGTAAAACCTATAAAATATCGCTTTCAAGCACAGATGATTGTAGAAAGAATGGTAAATATACTTTTCACAAACTGTACAAAAAGGAATAACTCTAACAGAAAACTCAGCCTTGGTGACCAGTTTGTCTACAATTCACAGAGTAACAGAGCTGTCAGTCTCCACTACTTCAAGTACATAACACCCGACTAAGGGGTGGGAGAGGGGAAAGGAAGATAGAAACACTAAACAGCTTTCTACCAATGCTGACCATTAGGTAATAAATTGACCCTGTATGTGGTATGAATAAGGTACAAGGTTGGTCAAAGAAGGGAAGCGAAGGTAAACGTATAAAAGCGACCGTCAGTACGAGAACATATAATGTATCTTAGATTATTTTCTTGATGGAAATCTCGTGTTTTGATCTTGATCAAATCTAGTTCTTATTAACTTTAGTTAATTAACACACACTAGGCTTTAAGCTTATCAACAATGGATTTTATTTTCTCAGTCATTCAAGTATTGTACATGTGCAAGCAATTGTAAACAAGTTATTGAATAAGTGAAATGTTGCAGATTATAATTATAATTACAAACAACAGTGTATTTTGTTCTGTAGAACTAAATTAACATGCCACTAGACACTATATTTCCGATTATATGTAAAAATCTGTAAATTTCACGGTAGATTGCGGCGCACAAATTTTTATCCATTTAAAATAGACATTGTCATTGATTTATAAATTATTGGGGATTTTAACGATATCAATCAAGGTGTCTCACTTAGAAAATAAAAGCTGAATTTATATTAGATCTTTTGAAAACTTATAAGCAAATCTTTTGTTGGGATATAACTCATCTTTATATTCCTGGTTCGTGCGTTTAGTCCGGGTTCGGGCTAGTGTTACAAGCTTTACCCCAGTCAGTCATGGTCGCATTTGCTTATTCCGGTTGAAACTGTTCAGATGGCCCAGGGATATTCCGCGATTAGGAACGAACTTGGACGTAACTGTATGAATAACTAAAAAGTACGCAGTTTCAGAGTTTTGTAAAATAACAATAACAACAATAATATGTCATTCTTTTTCGCGTCGACTAAATTATATCCGATTCAGATTAAACGTTACGTATAATAAAATATGCATGTGAATCGATCTTGTTTTGTAAAGAAATAATGCAAACTTGTGAAAGTCAGCAATTAAGCTTAGGCTACTTCTGGACCCTCCGATACGCACGTACCAAATATTCCTGAGGTCAGCGTCGGTAAGATATAAAGCTTATGTTTTCGCCTCAGGTTGAGCTGCTTGAAACGGTAGAACCGGATACGCGAAAGGGGATTTTTTTTTACTCAACATTTAGTTTCGATACTCCGAAAAAAATATGTATTCTTGAAAAATTATTACCTTTAAACAATAATTTTAGGATGTCACTATTTAAGATAAAACGCATTATTAAAATATTGATTAACAATGCCATTTTAGCGAAGAAATAATTTGTGCGAAAATAATATATAGCATCTCTTGCAATGGCTGCCTGCATCAGCAAAATGCTTTGACGAGAAAAAAATGCTTTAATATTATTGAATATTCCTATAATCATGGCCCGGCATAGGAATGTCCGGACTATGAACTATGAAGATGGTAAATTTCAAGTCGTTCCATCATGCAGATTTGTGATGCCAATGCTTTAATATTGTGTTTATATAATCACGGTCTTCCAGCAGGTTGTTCACTACTGCACTAGGCCTAGTAGCTGCGTTAACATGGCTTTCTGTCGACGAGAGATTGATATTAGTACTAGTTCACAACTGAACGGCCCATCATGCCTATATATTAATATAATCTTGCATCTTGATTACACTAACATTTCCCGTTTACAGTAATACTTTTATTTTTCCTAGTGAAATAAAAACACGTAAGACTATTTTCACACATGCCATGATTGCAATCTGCAAAATAATGAGATCAGTATTTTTTTTTAGTGATTTTGGTCAAAAATAGTGGATTTTTGAAACTGAATCAGAAATAATAATGCATACAATTTGTAGGCATATAACAAAGTATTATCTCATTTACGTTTCTTTTGTAGTCAGAGTCTTCCTTTTTTGTTTAATATAGGAGATATGGGAGATTTATGCTTATTTTAGTTAGTATTTTAGTGAGGTTACACCTACGTTACATGGATATATAAAGCTAAAGCATTTTAAAGTAATTTAAACAAATCAAATAACTTCCATTATGATTCTAGAAAATTTGTACACCAAACAGTAGCCATAAACCCAACTCACATACTCACCCGTAGACCCTCGAACCAGACATGCTTGCAAACCCTCACGCATACAAACACATATCTGCTACAAAGGACACCAACAAATATTCATTCTTTCCACACACAATAACACAATAGAATCCCCTTCCCATAGCAGCAGTACAATGCACAACACTAGAGGACTTCAAGGCACACTTACCCTATGCAGCCCTTCAAGCCCTCATCACACGCTAAAAACATACGTTAGCTTTTATCTTTATCTATACCTTGCACAAAACCCCCCAAACTAATCACTGTAAATAACCCCCTTATTCACGCCTCTGCAATAGGACCCCTGTGGGCATAAACGTCAACTTTGATGTAGCCCCCGTACAGTGAAGAAGAAGAAGAAACTTTGAAGACAAATAATATTGATACTTAAATAAAAATAAAACTTCCACAGGGATGTCTGGGGATCCTTGTTAGCCCAGGTAGAAAGAAAAACAACAAACTATATAGCCAGTTTACAGGTGTTAAAATTTCTTACTTTAAATCAAGACATTAGATTGTTTAAACATTCATAATATGTATAGGTGCAATTTGAGAAGCAGGCGTACATATGAAGATTAACATTGTTCTGTCACAAAAATAGTAAATATAAATCTTTGCATAATTCCAGTGTGGGATAGTAAGTCACGATGTCCCATGGACAATATAGGTCTAATATGGAACATTGAGGTTAAGAAAACCTCACCAAACTTCTATATCTATCTATTATCACAGTGTTTTATGTTTCTACCCTATAACGATGATGAAATGTGGTTTAGTGCGAGTGGGTTCTAGATGTTTTGATACATGTAGGTGGTATAGTTTCAGTACCTAAGAATAGGATGTTTTTGTATGTTTTTTTGTCAAGATCTAGACAATATCTATTTAATCTATTACATTTTAAAACTACCTACAATGATGAAATATGCTTATTTTATAAAAGAAGTGAGGATATATAATACTGTAACCTTTTGAGCGATATATTAATGACTAAACACAATTCTATCGTTTCCTGCTATTATTTGGCAAGATTTGCTTTTACGAATGGTATAAATTGTTTAGGTAAATTAATACCTTACAGTGTACATGTATGTAGCAAAGGTGTACCACAACAACTTATTCTACTATTGCTACATCTGTATCTGAACAGAAAAACAACGGCTTTGAATGAATTGAATAGACAATGCCATAGTGATTGGTCAATACAAAAGGTGATATTTTCACTGTGATAAATATCCGTTTTGAGAGTCCTAGGTAACGATATTTAGCCTGTAGCTTTGTTTTAGTCTTTTCTTTTGTTTAAGTTTTATAATGCCAATAAGGCATTTTCAGTCTTGCCCTATTTCCTATTATCAAATTTTCTTCATTATCTTGGAGAGTTTTACTTAAGTTAAAAACATTTTACCAAAATTGGAATCTTGCAATTTTTGTTCTCAGAATTATCAGAATGATAAGAATTATGTATTTATATTCTGATCCACAGAAACCATTATACATTTTGACGTAATCCCTATGAAGATGTACATATCCTTTGTTATCATTACTGTTGATTTGGTTACAGAATGCTATGATGAAGATGATTACCTCGGACACTCAGTGGAAGACAATTACTGTATATCTCCGGGCACAGGTACGCATATTTAACATTTATAATTAGAAAAGATGTTGAGGTCAGTTGTTCACTGTAATTTATTTACTTTATTTCAAGCATTAAAAAGTTAACTTTATTTTACAAATGTCTTACATAATATGAATACGAACATGTTGTATTTCAGCTGCCCAGTTTACTTTCAACCGTGAGAAGGACTTTGATTTGTCTACCTACATGAGTAATGAAAAGATTCCTGAAGAGGAGGAAGGCTTTGACAGTGACACAGACCCTCAGTCTCTCAATGACTCCCAGGGGTACAAAAAACCCACTCTCAGTGATACAGACCAAGGTAGAACTAGGGCATGGGTGTTCCTGTCCACAATGTTGTCGCACGGTTTTATGACATTTCTATCATACAATAATTTCAGTATTGAAATATATGTTTGAAGTAAAAAGGGTGTTAATTAACAATGATACAAACAGCAGAGAAACAAATTGAAGAAAGTGAAGTTTGTAGGTATTGAATTAATGATACTATTTTTATGTACTGGTACTGGTATGTAGACATGGTCGAATGAATTTCTGTCTGTAAGTTTACTATATTGACTAAGTGCACTTGTAAAATGATGTTTTAATTGGTCTTTAAGTACTTAATGTCAAATAGATGAATAGAAAAAGTCATATTCAAATGTTTCAAAAACAACTAGTTCAACATCGCTTAAAAAGAAATGAACATGAAAGAATAGTTTTTTAGAGTTTGCTTTAGATATGTACATTTTATAAAAACATTCTTTCAGGAAAGTTGAATTCTTGTTTAGAAGAAATACGCAATATAATTGGAGATAACACCCCGGACCATGTGTTATGTCAGACCATCATCAGAAACAAATACGACCTCCAGGCCAGTCTCAACGAGCTACTTACAACAGACGGTAGGCACCATATACAGTAACCTCCCTTAACTTTCGTAGCACAGTTTGGCCAGGGCACTTCTGTTGACCAGGTAGCTCATTCTGTTAGATAGTACAACAATATTAAGTTCTGGGTTTGAATCCGGTGTAGAAGCTGATGTTTTTACACTCAAAATACTGTAGTTGATTAAATTCTGTTACTTACATCTCATCTTTATCATTATTCAAGTCAAGTTCAGAAATGATTTATCAAAGCTATAGCCAGAAAAAAACAAATTACAAACACTAAGTTACAGTTTTTCACAGTGGTACAGGGATCTTTAAGTTACATGCAATTTAATTAGAAACAAGCAATAAAAGTTGGAATCCAAAGTCATATTACATGATAAACATGTATAAATGACATCTTATTTTAGGTTGTTTCAGGCATGAGACGATAATTTAAAGTGAATTGGTAAATACAATGATAGGGAAATTTTACTGACAAAATACAGGTTAACTGATCATGAGTTCTCTTAGATGGAGTATGGCTTTCCTGTGTTAAACTCATGCTAAAATATTCAACATTGGCAGTTCGAATGTGCTGCTTGTGTGTCGGTCTACTGCAAGGAGTTAAGGTTGCATGATACAAGCCTCCAATAGGAACACACCTAAATATGAATTGTAACAGCAATAATGCAAATTACAGTTAAATAAAAAAAAAAAAAATTGGGACTCTTTAAAGCCAGATGCTTTGAATGGTGAATTTAACATCTAGAAAAGATGTTAGCTGATGCAAAGCGTAAAAAAATGATCAGGAGTGAACATTTCCATATATACAGTAACTTTCATTTGTCTGTCTTTTATGATGACTCAATTCTTATTTATCTTTGATTAACAGTTTCAATTTACATATTACATACTTATTTGGAATTGCTTTCTTTTCTTTACAGCAACTCCCAAGCCCCAGAGACAGCCAAGACAAAGTCGACGGAACAGACCACAAGGTATATACCTCTTTACTTCCGAGTGTCATGGTAGATAAGCCAAATAAAAAACCTGTTGCCAGAGGAATGAGTGAAGTACATAAGCAGATCATCTCAAACATGAATTTAGAATACAGAAAATAGTTTGATTCTGAAAAAAAGAGAGGAAGAAAATCTATTAATAACGTGTGAAATTTTCAGATTTTAAAAGTAATAAAAAGATCTGTGAATCACATGTAGCTAGTTGTCATTTATAGTATATTCCACACCTTTATTTTGAAAATTACTTAACTAGTTGCCTTTCCTTTCTTCTCTATCCTTGCTGGATGTGTCCTTGGCTGCTGGGATTGCTATGAATTGTCTCCCCTGGTGCTGGTCTGTGAATGTCTCCCCTTTTGGCTTCTGTAAGGTAAGGCGATGACAATGTTGATGATGATTTAAATATGTTTATTGAGTCACTTGAATCTGAATCACTAGAAAAAACACATTTCCTCTCCGACCAAAACAGACATGTAGGAATTCTAAAATTTGGTAAACAGTCTCCTGTAGTTGATAGTCCTATTCACAATAATGTGAGACAAAATAAAACTGACATTACTTCATCAGAATCGGCTGACTCCTTTATATCCAGTATTGTATCAAATACTGCACTTGGTGAATCAGATAGTAGTCTCAAGGGAACACTTCAGCCTGCACAGCCTAAGGACAAGGTCAGCTTGCATGGTCAAACCAAAAGTGCTGGATTTTCACTATCCAACCTGGCTAAACAGCACAGTGTAGGTGCTACAGGTCAGGAAGTGAGACTGGCTTCCCTGGCAAAACCATGTGTAAAAGGTCAACAGGTGATGAAGAACAAAGACTTGAGTAGTCTAGGAAAGCTTTCTCCTCAGACAACTGGGGTGACCCCACCACTGGAGGGAGCTACAGCTAGTGAACAGCAAAATGCCAGGCAGCCATTAACATCTTCACAATTTACAGGTGGATCCCAGTCGGGGTCAAACAAGCCCGCAGGGTTGTCACTCACAGACTTGATCAAACAAAGTGGAACAGACAACAAGGCTGGTCTAGGTGCCAAGGATGCGTCATTGATACATGGACATGCATCCAGAGTATCGCTTGTAGATTTGGCAGGTCAAAGGTCACAATCGGATGTAGGTGAAGTTAGCTTGGGAAGTACAAACACAAAAGTTTCACTTAGTGATCTTGCTACGTCGTCCAAGTCGTCTGGCCCACTTAAACCTGTACAAAAGCCAGGTCAATCTTCAAGCAAGATTGGGAAATCACTGGCTGATTTGGCAAGTCAACACAAAGCAGCAACAGGGGGGGCAGACATGAATCCATTGAAGCCAAATTCTGTTGCAAAAAAGTCTGTGGTTTGTCAATTGTCAGGTTTATCTCTTGCAGACATGGCAAAAAGTCAAAAGTCACAACCACTTAAAGGACAAACAACAAGCTGCAAATCTCTGCGAGACTTGGCACCAAAGCTGAACAGGGTGGCCAAAACTCCATCTTTTTCTGATGTGTCAAATCAAAGTAGATCCAAAAATGTCGAGCAATGTGTAGAAGAAAGTAGCATGTTGTTGTCTGGAAAGGCAGAACCTGTCTCCCTAGTCCAGGAGAAGAATACCAGAAATGATGAACAAGCTTTGAGTGATAAGTTTTCAGAGTTAATGACTACAAAGATTGACTATTTTTTGGAAGATGAAACAGATCTCACTGACAGGGTCAGGATGGTTTCACCATCCATTCTTGCAAAGACTTTATCTTCATCTTTTGTTCGTTCCAAACAGCTTGATGCTAAAAAACGACTAAGATTTCGGAAGTTTTCATATCGAGTGCAAATGTGTAAAGTGAAAGAAAATTTGGCCATGGTAAAAAAAAATATTGTGTCATTTGATTTTTCAACACCATCTCCAGACGACATCATAAAGGAAAAACAAAACTTAGCTTTCACACGAAGTGGAAGATAAACTGAGATTTTTCCAAATGTTAACTGTTGTATTTAGCATGATGTAAATAATTCTGTTGTTGTTATTTACTCTTAACAAATGAATGAATACTTGTCCTATAAAATGACACGGCTTAATGTAAGTGTGTCATTAATGTGTACAGAAGCACTTGTAGTTGTTAGTGTGATGATGTCATGATAGTGTACTTATGTACAAGGTTTAGTGCACTTATGTACAAGGTTTAGTGCACTTATGTACAAAAAGGTTTAGTGTACTTATGTACAAGGTTTAGTGTACTTATGTACAAGGTTTAGTGCACTTATGTACAAGGTTTAGTGCACTTATGTACAAGGTTTAGTGTACTTATGTACAAGGTTTAGTGTACTTACTGTATACATAGCTTTGGTTTCCTTTTGTACTTCACTATAAAATCACATTATTTTACCTGCTAGTTGACATTTAAGTACAAATTGTATTTAGTTCATAGACAACACTGAAAAAATTAGTTTTGCTTGCAATTACTTGAATTTTTTTATAGTGATCATTTGTTACCGTTTAGTTATTCAATGTAAACTTTGTATGATAAACTGTGTCTATTAGATAATGTATATATTGTAAGGCTGTTTATATAGATACATAGTGTACATACAAAGCATGCTAAAGAAGGCTCAACTGATCTATTGCGATCACCTTTTATTTGTCATCCAAAGGACTGGTGATCTTATGTCACGGTGCAGCGTCTGTTCAGTTGTCAATCGTCCACCAACTTCTCATTTAAAACACTACTAGTCCTGAATGGCTCTGTGGATTTTGGTCTGGAACATCCTTGGGCAAAGGGGACTCAATTTTGTATAAACAGAGAGTGTAGCCTCCTGGGGGAGGAGGGCCAATATTGGGGACTTAGTAATAAATGTTTAGATTGGGGAAAATGAGATTTCTCTTTTAAATTCTTCTCTTTCTGTAACATTGAAGGGATTTTAACCAAATTTGGTCAAGAGCATGCTTTGGCACGAGGGACTCAATTTTGTATAATTATAAGCGAAGAGTGTGGACCTCCTGGGGGAAGATGAGCAGGGCCTGATGGGGGGATCCTAGTGACACATAGACATGAAGAGGTGGAGACATTCATGCTATCAGGATTGTCCTGGAGGTCCAGACCAACCCCGATCCCCTGGGGACATAATTATCATTATTAAGCCGTAACTGTCCATTATTATTTTTTATAATAGACACTACTGGCCTAATAATGGACAGTTATCGATAACAAAAATGATTTTAAGCAACAGCAAATTTTAGAAGCAAATCCACAATTTACTTCCAACCTTCAGCTATATGGCTTTACTGGGTATATGTACAGTAAAATACAATCCATTAAATGCCACAGAAAGTTATAAAGTGTTGGTTTACATGTTAATATTGGTTGAATTGTTTTACACTTTGCTTCAGCAATTTTGTCTATGCATGCAACCTAAGTGCCTTTTTTGTAAACTTAAACTATTGTTCTCTGTTCGATTTGATGTATTAATCAACATGTCATTACATTAAAAACATTTATAAATGATGTTGAAAGTGATACACTTATATCATCTTTTCCTAAGAAAAACATGCACAAACTTGAAATGACCAAGCTGGACTGACTGATAAATACTCAGGATTCAGTACATCAGTATTTGGAAATGAAAAGTATGTGAATTTTTAGGTCACCTGAGACAAAGTCTCAAGTGACCTATTGCGATCGCCTTTTGTCCGTCGTCGTCCGTCGTCGTCCGTTGTGCGTCCGTAAACAATTTACATTTTCGACTTCTTCTCCAAAACCCCTGAACCAATTTCAATGAAATTTTGCAGGGACCTTCCATGGACAAAGGTCAACAAAAA